AGTATATGTGAACTGCTGTATGAAAAGTGAATTTACTCTGTAAATCTTCACCCAAATCCTAAAAAAAAAAAAAAGTGGTGGCAATTTAATTTTAGCCCATGTATCTTGGTTAAACAGGAGCCCCAGGGGTGGAAAGATAGCGGACAGAACACTGCAAAAATAAAAAATGAATAAATAAAATAAAAAAGGAGCCCTGGTGGTGCAGAAGTTAAAACATTTGGCTGCTAACTGAAAGACTGGCAGTTTGAACCCACCAGATGATCTGTGGGAGAAAGATGTGGTAGTCTGCTCCCATGAAGAATTACAGCCTTGGAAACCCTATGGGCAGTTCTACATTGTTGTACAGAGATGCGAAGACTCAGAATTGACTCAACTGCAGTGGGTCTGGGTTTGTGGTATCTTAGTTGACTGAGGCACTTACAAGCATGGACTCAGATGCTGAATACCACAGGTTTGAATTCTGGCTCCTCTATTAGCTGTGTGACATTGGACATATTATTTAATGTATCTACACATCAGGTTCTTCATTTATAATGTAAGAATCACACTAGTGCTACTTCAAAGGATTATAGTAAGAATTAAATGAGTTAACATAAATTCTTAGAATAATGTCCTACATGCAGTAAGCCCAATATGAATATTAGCTACTATTATTACCAGTATCAATACTTCTACTACTAATATTACCTCTACTACAAGAACTATTTCTACTAGAACTATGGGATCAGAGGGAAAATTTATGATAGACAAAACTAGTTACATTAATATAGTATGCTCAAGTTTACAAAGTAATTTCTTATTTGAATCTCACATTTTTGGACTATGAAGAGTCAAAGTCATTATATGACTGGCTTAAATCACACAAATACAGCTAGAACTCAAAATCAGGCCTTTGAAAGAAAGTGAAATAAAAGGCATCCAACTTGGAAAAGAAAATGTGCAACTATGTCTATCTGAAAATGACATAATCCTATATACACAAAACCCAAGAGATTCAGCAAGAAAACTCCTGGAACTAATTGAAAGATTGAGCATATTGGCAAGATATAAGATCAACATACAAAAATCAGTTGGATTCCTCTACATCAACAAAGAGATTGCAGAAAAGGAAATAAGCAAAAAAAAAAAAAAAAAATACCATTTACAATAGCTATCAAAACGATAAATTCTTTTCAGTAAGACAGTGAAGCAGACAGACAAGCTACACAGACCCTCTTCAAAAAAGAAAAGAGAAAGCAATTGACACACATACAAAAGATAATCCTGGAACACTGAGCTTTGAAAGCAAGGATAGAGAAATGATTTAAACCCTAACTAATAGAAGAACCTGAACAAAAACAGTGACTAAGGAGACAAACAGAGCTGTGGACTGTCAACTATCCTGACGGCACGGACAGTTTGAACATTTCCAAATGTTCAAAATGTGGTAATGGGACCTGAGAATTAATCTAAAGATCGATCCTGCTTGTCAAGCGTTGCAGGACAACTGGGTTGGTGACTGATGACTAAAAAGAGAAACAGCAAAGAAGGAGACAAACTGAGCTGTGGACTTTCAGCTGTCTGGAGTGTGGACCCATTTTTAATGTTTACAAGCGGCAGCCATTTTGGATATTTAAAGTGACAGCATTCTCATTCAGATATCAGGGACCTAAGAATAGGCTCTGCTGCCAAGGACAGCACAGACATACGAGAGGCCGATGACTGGAAAGGAGACAGGTGGTGAGCGCATTAAGTGCTGCCAACTAGCAAACAGAGGAGCACATTACCCTGCTTACTCACATACATACAAACAAAATAAAGAAAACAAAAATCTTGGGCAAATCATTCCAACATACAATAACCAATTAAATATAAACACAAAAACATCACAATGTCTCAGAGACAACAGATCATCACAGTCCATACAAAGAAGAAAGATAAAGCAGTGGAAACAATGGACCAAAATACAGACCCAGAACACAGCCCAGAGGAAGAAGCAACTTTGGAACTCCCTGATAAGGAATTCAAAAGAATTATATGTAGGTACCTTCAATGGATTGAGAGACAGATCAAGGAAAACACACAAAAAATTGAGGAAAACACAGACAAAACCCTAGAACAATTTCACAAGATAATATAAGAAAAAAATGACAAAATAAATGAAAAATTAGAAATGATACAAAATCTACAGATAGAAATCCAGGAGATTAATATAAAATTTCTAGAAACAGGTTAATACACTGAATGGGCAAAGGAGTAGAACTGAATCAATGGAAGACAGAATAAGTGAGATTGAAGACAAATACCTCGATATGTCTTAGGAAAGGGATTAACCAGACAAAAGATGAAAACAAAATGAAAAAAGCCTAAGATTCATGTGAGATATTATCAAGAGGAATAACCTACATGCAATTGGAATTCCAGAACAGGAAGAGAAAAATAAAACCACAGAGAAAATTGTCAAAGATTTGTTGGAGGAGAATTTTCCTGAAATGATGAAAGACGAGAATATATCCATTCAGGAAGTCCAACGAACCCCAAACAGGATAGACCCCAAAAGAAAATCCATAAGACATATCATCATCAAACTCACCAAAACCAAAGATAAAG